TGAATGGATCTTGCAGTGGCAGGGGCCCGCCGTCATCATCGGGTTCGAGGGCACCTCGAACGTCTGGGTCAGCCACCGCCCCACGACCGTGAAGGTCAATCGTGGACACCTACGCCACGCCACGGCCACGGAACTCGCTCCGCGGGGACAAGTACTGAACGCGCTGAACGGCAACCAGCCGCCTGGACCTCCGCCAGGCGCCCCGCCAGGGACCTCCGGGCCCGCACCTCCTCCAGGCCCTGGAGGCGGCGGCGGCGGCGCAGGCGGCGGGCCCCCGCCGCCCAGTCCTGGTGGAGGAGGCGACCCAGCTGGACCTGCACCGCCAGACGCTGACGACGACATGTTCCTCGACCTGTCGGGACCGACACCGCAGAAGCGCCCCCGCAGTGACAGTCAGCCCCCCGCGCCACCAGCGCTACCAGCACCCGTTCAGCAGCCAGCCATCCAGCAACACATCTCCGGCGACATCGAGCATTCCGATGCGAATCAGCGTGCTCATAAGTACGCCGAGTGGCTAGCACGCCGCCAAGGAGATGGCGATTTCACAACCAGTGGAGGAGCGAGCGGCAGTGGAGGACCGGCCCCACCGCCTTCGGGAGGAGCCGTACAGCAGCCTCCGCCGCTGCCACCGCCAGCGGAGCCGCCGCCGCCACAAGCGGCCGCCGACCCGCCAGCGTCAGACTCAGGCGATGCTGCCGCTCCTGCCGCTCCGCAGCCGCCCCCACCGCAGCTGCCGCAGATTTTCGACCTCCTGAACCTGCCCCTCAGGGCCCGGTCGACGACGACATCGAGTCCGACGGTTCGGACATGATTCGAGCATGCGCCAAGATTGCGGAAGAGCAGGCGCGCCAGGAGACGATGTCGCGCCGCCCACCGGACACCGAAAACCAGCGCGGCACCAAGCCGCAGCGCCAAGTTCGACAGGAGAACGCACCAGTGGCACTGCAACGTGACCGCCAGCACGAGCTCGACCGCCGCGAGCGCGCTGGCAAGCGCACGGATCTCTTGGACGATCTGCCCAAGTGCTTCAAGAGGCCGAAGGACACGAACAAGGTCGACCTCTACCTAGACAACTACTTCCAGAAGCACGCGGACGAGCTCTACGCATGTACACGACTCCGTGAGGCACTGCTCACGGGCAACGCGACCGCCAAGGAGCTCAAGTACGACACGCTGAGCGCCACCGAGAAGAAGAACATAGACGCCGCCACGAAGACCGAGTGGTCCAAGTGGACGGAGTTCGGCGCCTACAAGAAGCTCCCGCCCAAGGAGCTGAAGAAGCTCCTGCGACGCAACCCTGGCATCCGCCCTGTGGGCACACGCTGGGCGCTGACCAGCAAGGGCCAGACAGTCATGAAGGCCCGCATGGTCGCGCAGGGTTGCCAGGAGGACAAGTCGCAGATCAGGACGGACGCGCCTATGGGGTCCAGGGAGGCGCTGTACCTGACCCTGGCCGCTGCGGCCCAGAAGGACTGAAACATCTCGTCCTACGACGCGATGACGGCCTACCTGCAGTCGGGTAGCATTGAGAGGCGACTGCTCCTGCGCATGCCGGCCAAGAACCCGCCGCCGGGGACCCAGCCTAGCGAGATTGCGATGGCCACAGGCGCGATCTACGGGACGCGCGACGCCGGGAGGCAGCGGTACCTCTGCGCGCAGAAGGTCTTCGCCGAGCACGGCCTCGTGGAGAGCAAGCTCGAGAAGGGCTTCTACTACTTCTACGACGAAGGTGGGCTCGCCGCGGTGGTCCACTCACATGTGGACGACTTCCTTATCGCCCAGCGCAACAACTCCACCAAGTGGAAGACCACTATCGCATCGCTGGGGAAGAAGCTGCACCTCAAGCCGGTCGAAGGGGTCATCAAGCACAGCGGACGTGCGATTACCAAGCTCGACGACGAGCGGCGCGTGACCCAGGCCACCGCCGCCGCGCAGGTGGACTACATCGACCTGAAGGCCCAGAAGGGCCGAGGTGCTGAGGACAGGCCCGTCGCCACCGAGGTGACAAGCTACCGCCACACGCTCGGGCAGCTGCTGTGGCTAGCGGTGCAGACCCGGGTGGACATCGCCTGCCAGGTGACCTTTGCAGCTCGCCGCGCCAACGTCGCTACCGTGGCCGACGCGAAGACGCTCAACAAGACCGTCGCCTACGTGCACTCCACCGCGAACTTCGCGATCGTGCTCAAGCGCAAGCTCGTCGACCTGAAGACGGCCATCACCGCGTGCTTCAGCGACGCCGCGCTCGCCAACGTGGACGGCGTCAAGAGCCAGTGGGGCATGGTGATGCGGCTCACCCATCGCCCGCGTGATGTCGTCGGCGGCCGTCGCGACCTGTGTCTGCCCGTCGCCTGGCACTCCGGCAGAGTCAAGAGGTCGGTGAAGTCGACCCTCGCTGCCGAGGGCTACGCCACCCTCGAGGGATCGGAGACCAACATCTGGTTCCGACAGCTGCTGACCGAGGCCTACAACCCCAAGACGGCGCTCAAGCATATCGACGCGCTCGCCGACAAGCGCCCTGGGGAGATCTACAGCGACAGCAAGGGTCTCGCGACGCACATCGCTTCAGATGCGGGCCAGTCGACCGACAAGCGGTTCCGCATCGTCGCCTCCATGATCAAGGAGGCCGTGCACCCCAACAGTGCGCTCAAGCTCAGCTGGATCCCGACCTGGGCCATGGTCGCGGACGCCTTGGCGAAGACGATGGAGGTGGGCGTCCTGATGTCGTTCTTCGGGGCCCCCAAGCATACCTACGGGACCCGGCAGCCACGCGCCGCCATGCTCGCCTCAGTCCTGTCTACCTGCCTCGGCAAGGTCAGGGGACAGCCTACGCCGACTATGCCGAGCTACAGCTTTTACATCTGCCTGCTGACGTTCACGCTGGTCCTCGGCATGACTATCGGTTTCGGTTTCGGCATCTTCAAGACGCTCTGGACGATCATGAGGCAGAACAGCGCGATCGCCACCGAGGAGAGCGTCGCCGAGGCGAAGGCTATGGGCGAGCATCCCGGCTGGGACGGCCGCATGCTTGGCCGGCGCCGCAACGTACCACCTACCATCCCAGAGGACCGTGATCACGACGGTGACATCACGATGTCCCACGCGGACGTTTTCAGCAGTGAGCAGGCATCGAGTTCAGTAGCATCGGTTGCGATTCAACAGCCGCCGCCGCCACTGTTGCCGACAGAACCACCGCCTGCCAGCGCACCGCCATCACCAGTTACCGGAACATCAGCACGGGGATCTGGACGATCAAGATCAGCGAGATCTCAGGGAAGCTCGGCCCCTACATCGCCAAGCGTCGTCACTGTGACGAGTTCATCGAGCTCCGTGTCAGCCACGTCAGCCAGCGTTGTATCGTGGAACGGCTCATCACCGCAGTGCAGCCGAATGTCTTGCTCACGTGCGCGGCCGGCATTCCCCATCATGGTGTTGTTATCGGGCACAACCCGCACAGTGTCTACATCATTTGCAAGACTTGCAAGAAGCATGCGTCGTGGTTGCTCCGGCACTACCGTTGCGGCAACCCCGATTTCACGATTTTCCCAGAGAGCGCAATGAACGATCGCATGGGCCGCTGGTGGAAGCTCACAGGCAGAGACTGCTGGCGAGGACCCGACCTGATGGACAAACCGACGAAGCCAAGGAAGGAAAAGTGAACCCCGCTTGGTTTCCGGACGGCAAGTTGGCCGATCTAACCGACAAATACTCTGCTGCTCCGATTTCATACCTGGCTACTCAACGTAAGGCCACATTGCTGTTCAGATTTCATCTTCGGCTATTCATACGTTAGTCCGCATTGCCGCTCAGACTTCATACCCTGCTAAAGATTTATGTAAGTGCGCATTACTGCTCAGATTTCAAACTTGGTGTAAAGATCTACACGTAATTCCGTATTCCGAAGGTTCTTCAGTGTGTACAGTATTTTATTTGTGATGACGATCACACCCACTTAGCATTCAGATCGTATCTCGATAAGATGGTTATGGTTGAGTTCTGTCGCTTCGCGATGGAAGCTTTGCCATTGCTAGCCTTGATGTTTGGTTAAGCGCCGGCGGCGCTGAGAGCTGAGTATACCTTGAATCCGTGTCGAGCTGTTTGCTCGCGTTTTGCCGGCATGCTTGGCGCTCCGCCCAATGAAGAGCCAGGCAGTTATATGCCCGTTCGCTCTGACGCTTCAACCTCGAGCGCCCTCGCGCCGTGCAGGAGGAGTGTGATTCCAGAAGGCTCGCAGGCCTTCTCACCCATTCCCCGCTCTCCCGCTCTGCCTCTCATGCCCGCTCTTGTGCAGCCGCTTTTACTCAAACTAGAACCCTTGGCCTTGGGGCTACGCACCTCGCCGCGCGAGTAAAGAAGATCCAACGATTATCTTCCATATCACAATAGGTAGTGACTGAGGGACTCTCGACCGAACTATGTACGTGGAGGAGGAGAAGGAGGAGGAGGAGGAAAAGAGGAGGAGGAGGAGGAGGAGGAGACGAAGGAGAAAGAGGAGGAGGATGAGGAGCATGAGGAGGTGGCGGAAGAGGAGGAGGAAGGCATGTGTAAAGGGTTATTCGGAGTACGTATGGTCCCGCACCCTGGCGTCTGTCGGCAGAGCGCGCGTTGCCAGGACCGCCCACCAGAGGCCCCTGCAGCAAGTCCGTAGCCATTTTGGCTCAAGTTCGAAACGCTCCCCTGGCGCTTCGAGCTTGATCGCTGCCGAAGGGACGGCTCAGGGCGCCCCTCCTGCGAGGACAGGCCTCGCTGCACAGGAGCTTCAGTGCCCGTGCCTTGTGGTTCACCTTCTGATCCTCTTGGCACCTTTCTCCTTTTCCACGAACGTTCTTCCGCCATGGTTCGCAAGTCACAGGTGCGCAGATCCGACAAGTATGAGGAACGTGAGGACCGACGGTCTCGGCGGGAGCATGTCCGTGATGGTTCTCTGTCATCGCAGGGTTCTCCTCGTCATGTCCCAGCTAAACTTCGTCATCCGAGCCGCAGCAGATCTGGAGGCATAAGTTCTTCGACGCCTTGCAGCAGCTCGACCGACTCAAAGATTGACACGCTCATCGGCAACATGGAGATGCTCTCCCAACTTGTGGCCAACCAGACGGTGGACATGAACTCCATCAAGGAGGCCTGCAAGGTCTCGGCGGATCGCTGTGCTGCACTTACGGATCAGATGACTTTGATCAGCCGTGAGTATCATAGCCGACATCAGGAGCTTCAAGCTTCGGTGACGGCCTCGTTGAACGCGCTCGACTACAGGATGGGCGTCTTGGAGAATTGCGGGGGCGATTCTCACATGAGTGACGCTGCAGATCCCACACTCACTTCCAAGGTGATCGCGATCGAGGGCTCCCTGTCCGAGTTGCTGGATCGCCAACGGGCCTCTGAGGCTCACATCGCTGCGCTGCAGTCACCACCGACTCCCCCTGCTTCTCCTTCCCCTCGCCGTACGACGACGAACCAGCAGAATGCCCAGGACCAGACGTGCAAGCTGGTACTCTTGGGTTTTACGCGACCCATGCTGGCCAGCGACCTCAAACTCATCGGCAACTCGTGCGTCCACACCTTTGCGCCCGCCCAGTCCGCGGCCAAGATCATCGTGCGGGGCTTTGACATGTCAAAGAAAGTTTCCCTTCACTTCGAGACGGCGCTGGATGCATCATCGTTTCTGGACAACTTCAACCGCACGAACGGATCGTGGTCTGTTGCTGACCCGCTGCACACGGGCGTGCAGCTCTCTCTTCGTTTGCGTCGCGACCTGGACTTCCAGGGTCGCCAGCTTTTTCTTTCGCTTGGCCGTGTGAGGCGCCACCTCACCGATCTGATGCGGAACCGTGGCTTCGAGGTCGGGAGCTCTGGACTGGGGGGGTGTGTCTACATCCTTCGAGGGCCCCACGACCCAGTCCCAGCGGTCAACATCTCGGTCTGCGACAGCGGAGCTGTCACGACTGAGATCGTGCGTGACACTTTGATTGAATTTGGCATCCCTCAGCATGCGGCTGCCCTTGAGGAGGCTGCGCAGGTTCAGCTGCGCCGTCCCTTTCGGCGCTGAGCCCGACTGCTCTGAGTGCGTAGGCAGTTCCCCTCCCTCCTTCTCCCCCCCTCCTGGTGATTATGTGAACAACACGGATCTCTACATGCCTTCCCCTTCTTTGTCTCTTTGTACGTGGAACTGTGAGGCACTGATGTCATCGGTCAGGTCGAAGAACATCATGGCTTCTAAGCGGTACTTTCGATATATACAGTTATGCAGGAAATATGATATCGTAGCTACACAAGAGACACACGGTCATATTGGTGACATATCAGAATTGGAGCGCGAGCTCCGCACGCACAGGTTCGGCTTCTCTTTCTTTGAAGACTCCAACCGCGAGGGCGGCGTCATCACTGCTATCTCTTCTACACTCGCCTCCCAGTTCCAGGACATTAGTCATTACTCGCTCATCACTGGCAGGATCCTCAAGAGTACTCTTATTGGTCCCCGAGGCAATTTGGTCATATATAATGTTCACCTCCCCAATACTTGTGATCCTATTACCATCTTTCAGGGAGTTCTGCGGATCCTTCAAGCTGACTTTAACTCGCACGGTCACGGCGGCGGCGATCTGCCTGCCCATTGCATCATCATGGGCGATTTTAACTTCGTCCTTGAGGAGGAGGGTAGGTTCAAGGGTGACGGGAGTGGGTGGACTGCTGGAGACACTACGCATGCGAGATTATTCCACAAGTTCTTCCCGTGCCTCACGGAACTATATCAAGACCAGGACACGAGACGGGGTAAACGGGGTAAAGCTGTCCAGGTTACTTCCAGGATTGATCGCATTTTCACCTCCCTCCCCCCTGCCCTGCTTCGGGACATTACCTCTCGGGCCGGTGTCCTTGGCTCCCTCAAAAGCTTCATGGCTAGCGATCACATCCCTGTCACTGCTTCTCTCGAGATTTTTTCCCCTTCGTCGCGGCACCCTGTTATCTCTCCTTGGATTGCGTCCTTACCTGAGTTTCACTCTGCCCTTAACGGGCTCTTGGGTGAAATCCCGTTGTCCTGGGGCCCTCTCCCGAAACTTCAGATTGCTAAAGATTACTTCTTCGAGGCCGCCTCTGCAGCGCGTGCTGCACTAGGATCCCGCCAAGCTGTTTCTCTCCAAGATAAGCATCATTGGTCTCTTGCTGCCCTTCGTGCCCTTCGCCTCGGGCATGAGCAACGCCTCCGCCAAGCAGTCACTTGCTATCCGAGGCTTCGTGTCCACTTTAATGCTGATCTCACGGAATGTGTGCACTTGGATGGTCTGTGTCAACACGTCCGTTCTCTCTTTCTTCAAATCCTGAAAGATGAGGAGGATGATATCAGTAAGTCGGACCTTGACGCAGATCGTAAGCGTGACCTTTCTGCCCGCAACCAGCGCCGTAAGGAGCTCTGGACGAAGTTCCGCAGGCGCACGTATCTCTCGGCTGTTTACGATGATCAGGGCTCCCCCCTCACTTCCTCGGAAGCCTCGGCTGCTGCTCTTCGCGATTACTGGCGTGATGTTTTCAAGGCCCCTTCGGTGGACCCTTCGCTCTGGGACGAAATCAACCCGTTCATCCAGGTTCTCTCGGGCCCCCTGGATTGCGACTGGCTTCTTCCCTATCATATTTGGTTTGAGCTCATCACTAAACGTCATCATAGTATGCCTGGGCCTGACGGCATACCGTACGCCGTCTGGAAGAATGAAAATGCCTCAAGAATCCTCTACAGTGTCTACCTTTCTCTCTTTGACGGCCAGGTCCACTCCCTTCCCGACGACATGAAGAGAAGCCTTTTAGTTTTTCTGCCAAAGGGCTCTGATCCTCGTGATGTTCCCGGCTGTCCGCACCTCTTTCGGCATCCCTCTGCTACTAGGCCGTTGAGTATGTGCAACACGGATATCAAGTTGCTTGCTAATGCTTTCACATCCGCTCTTGTTGACCACACTGCCCCTCTTGTCAGTCGGGTGCAAGCTTGTGCGCGTGGGCGTGATATGCTAGCGAATGTTGTTCAGGCCGAAGCTTGGGGCATCTCTCGGCACATGCGAGGTGATAAGTACTCTTCCCTCTTCCTTACGGACTTCTCCGCTGCCTTCCCCTCTCTTTCTACTGACTGGCTATTTCATGTTCTTCGTATAATGTGTATTCCTGCCCCTGTTCTCCGATTCTACCAAATGATGTATGAGGATAACTTTGCCCAGATTACCATCTCATCTCGGCGTTTTGACTGGATTGCTATCACCTCTGGTGTCAAACAAGGCTGCCCTGCCTCCATGCAACTATTTGTGCTTGCAGTTGATCCTCTGCTACGATGGCTTGGCCATCACTGTTCTCTCAACATCGGTATTCACCTGGCGTATGCGGATGACTTCTTATTTGGTTTGGCCAACACCTTACGTGATCTTGGGCCAGTTTTATCGTCCCTCATGCTCCTGGCCAAGATTGCCAACCTCCATTTGAAATTTAAGAAGTGTCAGATTATTATTTGTAGTGAGATGAATAAGGACCTCCTGAAGGCCACCCTTGCTTCCTTTGGCCCGCCCTTTGATGAGATCCTGATTTGTTCTTGGGCCCTCTATCTGGGTATCCCCATTGGTCCCGATGGTCACCTCCATGTCTGGGATGATATTGCTCCTCGTTTTCACCATCGTATTAGACATACTCGTGGGCTCGGTCTTGGTCTTGCCTTGTCGGCTGTCTCGTTTAGGGTCATGTGCGTCTCGCTCCTTTTGTTCAGGTTCCAGATGTACCCTCCCAACCAGGCTATTACTAAGATCTTCAAGGAAGGGGTGTTGCTTCTCACGGTCGGGCCGAGGAATGCTATTTCGTACAACTTGGCCACTAAATTTAAGGAGATTGGTCTAGGTGCTGAGTTCACTGACATCCATGCTGTTGCGAAGGCGGCGTGCATCAGGTACTCCCTTCGCTCATCTGTTTTTCAACAGGCTCTTACTAATCTCGAGTCGGACCGTGATGATCCCGAGCATATTCCGTTTCGCTGGCACCGTGGGTGGCATAAGTCTTCGTTTATCACGTATATGCGTGGCCTGTATACGTGGTACCATAGCATCAATCCCATCATCGATATCACGTGCAAGAATCTTCAATCCAAGCTGTACGCTCTCCTCCGCCAGCACCACCAAACGGAACCTGCTCAGTCTATCCTTCTCCGCCGTGCTCAGTATTTTATACCGGAGGCTCGGGCCTCGATGATTCTGGACTTTCGGCTGAATGTGAAGAGAGTGGTGAAAGCTACATCCATGTATCTGGGAGTTGCCCCTCTGCGTCTGCTCACGGCCTCTTTCAACACGAGTGCGAGATTTCACTGTCAAGCTGCTGGTTGCCTCTTTGGATGCGCTCCGCCTACTCCTGGGAAAGACCTGGACTCTATTGATCATTACTGTATTTGTCCTGGGCTTCGGGACCTCCTGGACTTCTGGCTGGGCACCTATCTTGAAAAGTATTCTGGACCGTTCCGTGGACCGAATGGCGAGCGACCGTACTGGTTCTGTCTCCTCCTCCTCCTCTTCCGTGAGCCCCCTCATGTCTGCCTGTTGCGTGCTGCATGCTGTGATGCCTTTTTGGCTGCTCATAATGCTCGTCGCCTCTCGTGTGCCGGCTCGCCTGCTGAGCACTTCGAGGCCCGCCTCCGTGTCACGGCTCGGAGACACCAGGCTTTATCTGATGCGTGGTCGGGCCGCTCGCCCGCCTTTGTGCACAGACTTACCCGTCGTCCTCCTCCCCCCTCTGCCCCTCTGCCTCATGGAACAGGTACAGAGGCGCTGCCGTCCAGGATGCCTGGCACCCCCCGCGGCAGGTGGGAGCCTCCACAGTAGCTGTTTATCTTCCCTCTTTTCCGCTCACTTACTGCTCATCTATGATAGCAACTGCCCGCGTGCTCGCGATACCGAATGTTGTCCCGGATGCGTTTGTTCCCCCCTGCAGTAATAAAAAAAAAAAAAAAAAAAAAAAAAAAAAAAAAAAAAAAAAAAAAAAAGAGGCCCCTGCAGCAAGACGTGCACGCAGCCCTGAGTTCCTCGAGGGCGCTCCCAAAAAGAGCCTTCGATCTTCGATCCTGGAGTCCTCCTCCTGTCAAGCGATCGCAAACATGGATCAAAGGGGCGTGGGTGAAAGCGACCAGCAGCTTCCGTGGGAAATCGCGGACTTCCGCCACCAGGCGAGACGGCACCAGCCGCATTTTGGGGAGGGCGCTTCCCCCGATCCATGGACTTGGCGACCGCGCACCAAATCCATGGATCGTTGATCCATGTTTGCGCACCCCCGATCCTGAGCCCTCAATCCTCGAGTCCCTCTTCCGCCTCGATCTTCGGTTCTCGAGTCATCCTCGCTTGGGCATCGGGCCGCTTGAGGCCCTCCAGTCGCGCCGACCTCCTCGAGGGCGTTCCCAAAAAGGAGCCTTCGGTCCTCGATCCTGGAGTCCTCCTCCTCTTGGCATTGCTCGGACGCGTGCATTCTGCATCGGCGTGGACCATCCGGAAGAATCTCGGGCCATCCTGCGAGGCATACACGCACACACACACACACACACACAACAGCCGCGCCCAGACGGCGCATTGGCAAGGAAAATTGTGACAGATGGCAACGTGCGGGCACATGCAAAACATATACAAAAAAACATGTAAACACTCAGTTGCGCTGCAGGTGGCTCGGTTGCCGGCCACGGGAAGACTTTGTACCCCATGGGACGCGATGCGTTGACCTGCAGACAGGTGGAAAGGAGGAGGAGGGAGGAAAGGGAGAAGGGGAGAGGGAGGGAGGGGGAGAGAGGAGCGAAGCAGAGGCAAACATCAATCAATCAAATATTGCACCAAGCTTTGACAGCTAGGCGCCAGCTCCCCTGGTCGCCTAGAAGATCTTGGAGTCGCTCCGGGCTTCGCCCGGACAGCTCCGACGCTTGCGAATACATGTACGTTGACCATTGCAGACGCGGCCTGCCTCTGGCACGCGCGCTACCCCACGCTCTAGGCAAGACGGTTGAGTGGCTCCCTGTGGAAAACAACATACGTCTTGGGAGATTGCTCGGAGATT